GGAGGGAGGGAGAGGGGAGAGGGAAAGGAGGCGGCGGCAATGGTGGAGAGAGAGAGGAGAGGGTGAGAGAGAAGGTAGAGAAAATGAATTAGGGTTTGAAATCCAATATAATTTATTTTTTATAATATTTTTATTAATATTTAATTAAATATAAAAAATTTGTATCTATTTTAAAAAGTTCTTACTTTTGAAAAAAAAAAGATAAAATTTGATTTTAGAAATTGGATTTCCAAAGGTAGGGATAGGTGTAATTTCCACAAAAATAAATCCCAATTCTGGCCATTTTCAAAACCTAAACGAACCAACTGTAAAGCAAAACTCATGCACAACCTCACCAATGGCATGTGTCTCGAGCCTCAATATTGCATTTATGTAAGAAAAATCAGATTTTAAAATTAGGGTTTTTACTTTTAAACCCACGGAAAACCCGAAAACGAAAAATGAAAATGGAGAAGAAAGGATTAATTTCAACATGATTTGGTCTATCTCTGATACCAATTGATAGAATATAATTAACACAATCAAGAGTCAACTCCCATTAGCAGATTTTTCCACTTGCATAGGAACAAAACTAATCCGAATCATGTACAAATTATATTTCACAAATGTAAATAGGAAATTACCTTTTATAACTGAAGACAACGGCCGCACCACGGCTTCCTTTCACACGAATCTAGTGGACAAAATGGAAAGAAGCAGCATTGCTAAAGGCGATTTTGTGAAGAGACACACTGGAGTGACTGGACTGAAGCAGCCACTGGCCACACTTCCCGAAAACCGCATAGAAAGCTTTTGTGGGCCAAGACTAAAGTGGGCTTATAAAACCATGCAAAAAGATTCTTCGGCTCAATGGGCTAATCAAAGTATAATAAAGAAAAAGAAATAAGTCATGAGTTTATTTAATAATAAAATTAGAATAGAGAACTCTAAACTGAAATTTCCATAAAAGTAAGTGTCATCGTCCAACGAGACACAATTAAACAAGCTAACGATATTTAATTAACAAAAAATGTTAACTTGATGATCGAAACTTCCAGTGTGTGAGATGATCAAACAAAAGAAAAATTCAAATTTCAGCGTAACGTAAGAGTATACGCTCGTAAACCTATGGGCCGACGCACTAACCAATGGAGGCATGAAAACAGTGAATATTTGTAATATTTTGCCATTCTATGTGCTGTTGGCCAATTCTGATGATGAAAACCTTGCACCTTTATCCAGTTTTTTATGTGGTCCTTGTATTCATTGCCCTCAGCTTTGTTTGGTTCTTAGGAAAAGGGATTTGTAAATTCAATGCTGATGTCTGATTTGTTCATTTCTAATAACATCCAATGTTGGAAGGAGGAATTTTAGCCCACGACACAATATCGATGGTTTTAGGCTTTTTAGTGGGCGCATGGGTAAGTAACACTTGAGAACAAATCCTTAGTAACCAAGTTTACAAACACATTCTGAGGTCTCTGTGGGCGTTCATAAAAGACAGACAAAACTTAAAAAACCTTAAATATCAAGTCTTCGCCACTAGAAATTCTTGAAACCAGTGTCTGCGCCAACTGAGAGATTTCATTTCAATCACCCTTTAAATTAATATAAACTATCCCTTAAATATTCCATCTCACCATAGAATTAATTCATTCTATTTCCTTTTGATTAGAGAAATTAACAAGTACAAGAAATATGAGTTATTTCAGCAAAGTTTGCAGGGCTGTAACTGTGGCTAAGGTCGAAGGGCAAAGTGATCGATGTGGTAAATATGGTTCCGGCTTAGGAACTCGTCCTTGTGGTAATCTTCGTACGAGGTTTATTAATGGCGACTTTGAAGATTCCAATAGAAGAGAGGGAGGAGAAGATAAGCGAAAACAGGTTGATGAATCACTTCAAAGGGTCATGTATCTGAATTGCTGGACTCAGGGTTAACTATTAAAGAAATCAGGTTTTTTCCGTTAGAGAATATGGAAATTTTTCCGTATCTTTAACAATTCGTATAGCTTATCAACCGAGGAAGATGCGCAAAGAGATTGAAGATAGTGGCCAAGATGCGATGGAAAAATTTCCGTATCTTAAACAATTCGTAGCTTATCAATGTCTCGTAGACCATAAGTCTTCATTGTATGTTACGTAGACTGTAATCCATAGAATGCATCGAAGATGCTCTTAAAGTGAAGCATTTTCTCTATCAGAATTCCAATTATTAGGCTACTTCTGGTGTTGATTACGAGTACGCATTAGATCTTTTAGTAGATGTAACAAGGAACAGAACTTAATGAAAACAAGATTCTCATAATTTTTTTATTTTATATTTCCGAAAATGGAACGTGCACCAAGAAAACGACTGGTGTTTAATAAGTTTCATACAATTTTTTACTGTTCCTTCATGCAATATACAAATTAAGCTATATGATTAATGCGAGTTTTCTTAGTATTTTTCACCCATCGAGTTTTCATTGTTGCAAGCCGGCCTAATCCCAGATAAATAACAATGACTTTTTGGCATTCTCTTTAAGAAATTTTGCTATAAATAGGAGCCTCGGAGGAAGAGATATTCCACGAGAGTAAGAGTTTATACTTTTAGAGCAAGTTAAAAAAAAGAGAGAAATCGAATTAAAGATGGCCAAGGCTAGCAACAATATTGCCATATACATGGCTTTTATACTCTCAATTCTGCTCGTTGTCGTTATGGTCGAAAGCAGATCATTACTTGGTTGTAAGTGCTAAATAACCATTCCAAATTATTCACTCTTTCTTTTTTTTCTATTTCAGCTTATGTGGCATAAAAAAATCCATTTGTACAATATTTTAATCGTCGAGTAAGTCAAAATCCATCACACAACTTGTCCAACAAGATGTATTTTTGCATAACTCGATGATAAAAATAACGCACTGCTCGATATTCCATGACACGACATATCTTCTAGTATCCATGATCGTCTTAAACTAAAACAACGCTGTAAATTGTTCAACTAACAATGGTTATAACCCGAGTGAGAAACGTAACTTTTCTTGAGTTATTGATTCCTTTTTTTCTTTTTCTTTCCCTTTTTTTCTGGAAATTTGCAGCTATCATTAAGGGAAATTCACCCCTAGCATGTGAAGAGGTGGTGGGTGTGAAGAGTGGAGACACTTGTTTTGAGGTTGCTAAGAGCTTCAATTTGACCACTGAATTCTTTGATGCCATCAACCCAAATCTCAATTGTACAGCACTCTTTGTTGGCCAGTGGATTTGCATTGATGGTTTTATAATCTAACTGAATTCGGGAGAAGCTCATAATTGGAAGTACTTATAAGTTATTACAGAATAAGAGCTTAAATTATTTAAGGTAGTCGGCAATGTTTTGAAAATCAGCCCGTGTAGTCATTGTATCCTTACTCTGTACTAATAAAATCAATACATCGATCTTCTTGGCATTGGAGCTTCAATGAAAGCAAACACTTAAAAAAATTTCCCATTGATACATAACGTTTTATAATTTTACAACTTTATCTAGAACCCTCTAAAGAAAAATCCCGTAAAAGAGATTTAGCTTATCAAAAAGGGATCCGAACATGCATGAATACAAGGTACCACCTATACAATTCTATCCTAAACACTAATTTACAAGAGGCTAAGATCCTTCAAACTTCAATGCAAGTGTGACAAATCATGTGATTCATGACCATTGCATTTCTTGCAAAGCCGTGATGCCAATTGAATGTCTCGTTTCATTTGTAGTAAAGGCAAAAGAAGTGATCCATGTTAATCCACAAAATGTGGTTTTCCCAATTGCAAGACCGTGACCAAGTTTATGAACCCTTTTTTTTATTGGATAATCGATGACACGGAAAGAATTCAATCCTAGACAAGTCGAAAAGAAATGAACGTTGTTTACTTGTCGCTAAAAAGTCCGAGGTCTCATTATTACAAGATAAGGGGATGATTTCCAATCCGAAACATGTGAATGTGATTCCAACTTCAAGTACAGGCTCATGTTTGTGTGACTCATAAATTTTTGTCATCAGTCCATCTCTATAAGCAATCTAACTTTTTACACGGTATTATCTACTGGATTCTAATAAAAATAGTTGAAACTCTAAAAATGAGTTCAGTTATAATGAGAATCGAACTAAAGCCGGTGACGAATAGTTTCATGCATGGTGATGAAACTGAACTCGACTAGTGGTTTTAGTGGAGAAATTGCTAACTCCTCGGTGGACTATATAATTAAAAATAAATAAATAAAATCTTGTTTTTGGTACTGATATCTATTTAGTTGCATGTAAGAAACATTCATTGAAATGAATAACCTAATTTGTAATATTTTCTGAATTATAAGGATAATAAATGTATTTAGACTATTTTATGATATAAATAGAAGGATCTATAATTATGGATGCAATCAAGAAGAAGAATCTCTAGTGATTTATTGTGCATATGATCAACAGACAATATGATTTAAACGAAAAAGTAGTTTGTGGAAATGTGTAAAGCAAATTTCCATTAGCAAAAGTTTCATTGTGAAAATAATGATATGTGACAAAGCCGGGCCCACACCAAGGTCAGCATATTATTATTTTATTATGGAATCTTTGTTAAGAACTAGGTTCCATCTTAAAAGATCAACTTTATTAAGAGGAGTAACTCAATCCTTCATTAGTTAGTTTATGTTTACATCTTTATTCAATGTGGGATTCTATCCATTAACATGTCCCAACAAGATGGTAGCTCGATTGAGCATGCCAATCTTGAAATCCGAATGCTCACTTTTGAAGTTTTAACCAGATCGAATTGCTCGTTAGAGTTTAATGAGCTCTGATACCATGTTAAAAATTTGGGTTCCATCTTAAAAGATCAACCTTATTAAGAGGAGTAACTAAATCTTTTATTAATTTGTTTATGTTTATATCTTTATTTGATGTGGAAATCTATCCTTTAACAGCGTTGTCTTGTGTGCATATTGAAATTCAATAAATTCAATAGTAATATATTTCGATACACAACGATAAAGCAATAAGTATTCAAATTAATTCATAAACTTTTTGTGGTTTTGGATTGACAATATATGCTTTTGCAAGTAAGATGAACAAGTACAACTCTAAAAATAAAATACTTGGGGGACGTATTAATATTTGTAAACAAGTCACTAAATCCACTCCTAATTCAATCCTCGTGAAGTCTTTTTTATACTTTCTTGAACGCACCATTGCCACTCTCCAATTCAACTGATCTATGAGGATAATCCACATCTGTCATGAACTTGGACCAGAACCAATGTTGTTTCCACACAATAACCATTTCCTCGATCGGGATATTCTTAGTCTCGGGCAAGAAGAAAAATATGAAAATCGTCATTATAATCACCCAAAATCCGAAGAATAGAAACAACCCGAACTTCAAGTGACAAAGCATTGTTAGAAAGATCTGAGCGATCGCAAATGTGAAAACCATGTTCACGGAGACGTTGATACTTTGTGCGGCTGATCGAATTTCGAGTGGGAAAATTTCACTAGGCACTAACCAGCCAAGAGGACCCCATGACCAAGCAAATCCAGCAACATATACACAGATAAAGAGTACCACCACAATAGCATACCACTTCGGTAACTCACCAGGATTCCCATTAACACCAAATTTCAAAGCTATGCATATTGCAACGGCAATCTGAACATAAACCACAAGAAAATATATCGTAAATAATTGCGTGAAAACTAATAATAACGTTGAAGATTGAAGCAAGTGAAATGAGATACCTGACAGACGAGCATTTGGACGCCACCCTCGAGGAAAAGGAACCTTCTTCCCCACTTAT